TGAGTGGCCACGCCCAGCCTCTTATTTGTTTTTAATTTGTTTATTTATTTTTTGAGATAGAGGCTTACTCTGTCGCCCAGGCTGGAGCGCAGTGGAGTGATCTCGGCTCATTGTAATCTCTGCCTCCCAGGTTCAAGCAATTCTCGTGCCTCAGCCTCGCAAAAATCTGGGATTACAGGTGTGCACCACCATGCCCAGCTAATTTTTGTATTTTTAGTACAGAAGGGCTTTCACCATGTTGGCCAGGCTGGTCTCCAACTCCTGGCCTCAAGTGACCTACCCACCTTGGCCTCCCAAAGTGCTGGGATTACAGGCATGAGCCACTGTGCCTGGCCTAAACTTATTATTAATATATTATTTTTATAAAATATTTTATAAAATATTATTTTTACTCTGTTGCCCAGGCTGGAGTGCAATTATAGCTCACTGCAGCCTCTAACTCCTGGGCTCAAGCGATCCTCTAACTTCAGCCTCCCAAGTAGCTGGGACTACAGAAGCGCACGACCACACTCAGCTAATTTTAATATTTTTCATAGAGTCAGAGTCTTGTTATGTCATCCAGGCTGGTCTTGAACCCCTGGCCTCAAGCAATCCTCCTGCCTTGGCCTCCCAAAGTGTTGGGATTACAGGTATGAGCCACTGCACTGGGCCGGGGAGGCCGAAAGATGTCCTACAGCCTGACCAGGTTGGTTCTTCCTTGTCCAGCCTCTACTTAGCCATTTCCAGAGACTGGACAACAAACACACCAAGAGGCTGGGTATGGTGGCTCACGCCTGTAATCCCAGCATTTTGGGAGGCCAAGGCAGGCAGGTCTCTTGAGGTTAGGAGTTCAAGATCAGCCTGGCCAACATGGCAAAACCCCATCTCTGCTAAGAATTAAAAAGAAAATTAGCTGGGCATGGTGGCATGCGCCTGTTATCTCAGCTATTCAGGAGGCTGAGGCAGGAGAATCACTTGAGCCCACGGGGTAGAGGTTGCAGTAAGGCAAGATCACACCACTGCACTGCAGCCTGGGCAACAGAGAGAGACTGTCAGAGAAAGAAAGAAAAAGAGGAGAGGGGAGAGGGTGAGGGAAAAAGAGAGGGAGAGGGGGAGTGGGGGGGAGAGAGAGAGAGAGAAAACACTCTCGTGAATTTGACTCTATCAGTCTCTTGAGTCCATACCTCGTGGCCAACTCCTGTGCATTGCAGGACAGGTTCCCTGACCCTGAACCTAGGTCCTCACTGGAACCTCAAAATTTCTTGGCACTAGTCAAAATGCTTGGATTACAGGTGTGAGCTACTGCGCCCAGCCTGTTGATCATTTGTGATGATCACCAAATATTTCCAATGCTCTCTCTTCTGGGAGGGCTTTTTCCCGGCCACTTATGTACGGTTGGGTAGAACCATGTGACTTTTTCTGAGCAATGAGCAGTGAGATAAAAATATTGCATCATTTTTGAACCATGGTATTTAATTATGGGGATGAGGCCTTCCAGAGATGTCTTGCCTCAGTTACAGTGACCCAAAACATTCCAGATAGTGACTACTTTTGTTTTAGAGACAGAGTCTCACTCTGCCGCCCAGACTGGAGTGCAGTGGTGAAATCACAGCTCACTACAGCCTTGAATTCTCAGGCTCAAGCGATTCTCCTGCTTCGACCTCCCAAGTAGCCGAGCCTACAGGTGCATGCCACTCTGCTCAGCTGATTTTAAAACGTTTTTTTAGAGATGAGGTCTTGCTATGTTTCCCAGGCTGGTCTCAAACTCCTGGGCTCAAGCAATCCTCCTGCCTCAGCCTCCCAATTAGCTGGGACTATAGGCGTGAGCCACTGCACCCAGCTCAGGAATTACTTTTGTATTATTTTTGTCCCCTCAAGACTTTGGTGTGATTTGTTACAGTGGCATAACCTGACTTGTCCTGACTGATCCATTACACCGTCCACATCATGGCAGCTGAGTCTAGCCAAGGGCTTCTATGTTAGTTTGCTAGGATTTGCTATAACAAAGTTCCACAGATACAGTGACTTCAGCAAGAAAAATGTATTGTTGACCGGGTGCGGTGGCTCATGCCTGTAGTCTCAGCACTTTGGGAGGCCAAGGCAGGTGGATTGCTTGAGCCCAAGAGTTCAAGACCAGCCTGGGCAATATGGCGAAACCTTGTCTCTATCAAAAATACAAAAATTAAGCCAGGTGTGGTGGCGTGTGCCTGTGGTCCCAGCTACTAGTGAGGCTGAGGTGGGAGGATGGTTTAAGCCTGGGAGTAGTTGCAGTGAGCTGAGATGGCACCATTGCACTCCAGGGCGGGCAACAGAGCCAGACCCTACCTCAGAAAAAGAGAGAGAGAGAGAGAGAGAGGGTGGGAGTTATCTCAGGAATCTTTGCTGCGTCTCTGGAGCTCGATATCATTCAACATTTACTGAGCACCTACCCTGAGCCAGGTGCTGTTCTATGCAAGGTTCTTCCAGTGATGGAACTTATATTTAAGTGTGTCTTGTAGAGACAGATGAGAAACAAGTAAGTAAGTGAGGCCTGGCATGGTGGCTTATGACTGTAATCCCAGCACTTTGGGTGGCCGAGGCAGGAGGATTAATTGAACCCTGGAATTTGAGAACAGCCTGGACAACATAGCGAGACCCTTGTCTCTAACAACAAAAAAAAAAAGTTTAAAAATTAGCCAAGCCTGGTGGCACACGCCTGTAGTCCCAGCTACTTGGCAGGCTGAGGTGGGAGCATCGCTTGAGCCTGGGAGGTTGAGGCTGCAGTGAGCTATGACTGCAGCACTGCACTCCAGCCTGGGCAAA